CATGGGTGTTCTAAGATCCCACATAGAGAAGATAGATGTGAAGACACTTTCAAAATTGAGAAAGAAAAAGCTTGTCAGGTAAGTTCCTAATACTTAAAATAGGATGTCTTTTGGTATCAGGGTTGATTTATAAGACCTTTGGGCATAATCTCCTGAAATTCCTTCAAACACAACTTTCAACTCCTTCGGACATGATTGTCTAGGAGTATTTACTTTTCAAAGTTCGTTACCTCTGTTTAGAGGAGCAATTTACTTTTCAAAGTTCGTTGCCTCTGTTTAGAGGAGCAATTTACTTTTCCAAAGTCGTGGTACCTCTGTTTAGAGGAGCAATTTACTTTTCAAAGTTCGTTGCCTCTGTTTAGAGGAGCAATTTACTTTTCCAAAGTCGTGGTACCTCTGTTTAGAGGAGCAATTTACTTTTCAAAGTTCGTTGCCTCTGTTTAGAGGAGCAATTTACTTTCCAAGTTCGTTGCCTCTGTTTAGAGGAGCAATTTACTTTCCAAAGTCGTGGTACCTCTGTTTAGAGGAGCAATTTATTTTTCCAAAGTCGTGGTGCCTCTGTTTAGAGGAGCAATTTACTTTCCAAAGTCGTGGTGCCTCTGTTTAGAGGAGCAATTTACTTTCCAAAAGTCGTGGTGCCTCTGTTTAAAGGAGCAATTTATGTTTCTCAAAGTCGTTGAGCCTCTGTTTAGAGGAGCTTTGGTAAAAAAAAAAAAAAAAAAAAAACAAAAAAACAAAAAACAAAAAAAAAACAAAAAAACCAAAAAATGACAATGTTGAGTTGAGTCTTGATTGGGTGTCTACGTCTTTGCGCAATTTCTGTTTCACAGAAAATGTGCAAAGAGGGGCAGCTGTAGACACTCAATTGGGTCCTGGCCCAGATCAATTGGGCCTGGCCCAAATGGGTAAGCCCAATTCAATTTTATCTTGTATTTTTTTTTCTTTTTTTCTTCTTTTGTATTTTATGTATTGTATTATTTATTATTATTATTATGTATTAATATATGTATATATTTGTTTATTTATTTTTTGTTAATATTTATGTATTATTACTAATATGTATATATATATATATTTTATCTTTTTTATTTTATTCATTTTTGTATTTTTACTTATCTAATTATATATCTGATATATATTTTTTTATTATTATTTTATTTATCCTATAATATCTGTTGATTTATCTTCTCTAATTATCTAGTTTTTTTTTTATTTTGATTTTTATTTTGGAGGGCTAGGATTGAAAGTTGAAGAATCCCACTGGGAGTGGGAATTCAATCAGAAGAGTCCAGACTGGATTCAAAGATTGAATTCCCGTCCAAAGGGGAATTGGGATTGATCAGAAACTCTTGATCAATCCCTATATAAAGCACCTCATGGAACAGAATGAAACACACAGAAAACAGTAAGCAAAGCTACTGATTTGAGATAAAAAGGGGCGTATAAGAAGCTAAGAAAAGTTTAGGAGTGTTCTGGGAGTGAGAAAAATTTTTTAGAAATTTTTTGGCGAAAATTTTTTCTGGAAATTTTTGGGAAATTTCCAGATTCCGGCGAAAATTCCGACCAACCTTGAAGTTTCCGACGACCAACCCAGTTTTCGACGAAGAATCACAGAAACCGGTGATCTTCCGGCCAACTTCCAGTGAAATTTCCAGAATCCGACAGAAATTCTACCAGTGTTCTTCAGTCTTTAGAGAGAAGGGAGAGGAAAAAGGAAGAAGAGAGAGAGAAAGGAGAAGGGTTCTGCCGAAAAACAGAGGGAAGTGCCTTTTATACCCTTTTAAAACGACGTTGTTTTGGCCTTAAGTAACCCAGAGGATCCGCGCGTTTTGCCGAACCCGACCCGACCCGGGCGTCGACCCGCTTTCTGACCCGCGCCTGTCAGCCCCCTCCGAGCCGAGCCAAGCTGCCGAGCCAAGCCGCCAAGCCGTTCCCCCGAGCCGTTTCCCTGCCTTGAGCCGAGCCGAGCCGCGATCCGAGCCGCTCCATGTTTTTTTTTTTTTTCTTTGTTTATTTGTTTATTTTATTTTTTATTTATTAGATTAGGTTTATGTAATATTCTTTTTTATTTATTTTTATTTATTATTTATTATTTTATTTTATTTAAATAAAAATAAAAAATTTCCAAAAAATATATTTTTAGGGAAAAGTTGAAAGTATCAATTTTCCTCAGAAATAAATTTCAAAAAAAAATATTTTTAGGGAAAAGTTGAAAGTATCAATTTTCCTTAGAAATAAATTTCCAAAAAATATTTTTGGGGAAAAGTTGAAAGTATCAATTTTCCTCAGAAATAAATTTCAAAAAAAAAAAATTTTTAGGGAAAAGTTGAAAGTATCAATTTTCCTTAGAAATAAATTTCCAAAAAATATTTTTGGGGAAAAGTTGAAAGTATCAATTTTCCTTAAAAGAAAAATAAATTTCCAAAAAAAAAATATTTTTGGGGAAAAGTTGAAAATATCAATTTTCCTTAGAAATAAATTTTCAAAAAAAGGGTTTTTGAGGAAAAGTTGAAAGTATCAATTTTCCTTGAAAATCGAAATTTCCAAAAAATATTTTTGGGAAAAAGTTGAAAGTATCAATTTTTCCTAAAAAAAAAAATCATTCTTTCCTTCCTTTCTATCTTAATTTTGATTTTGTTTTTTTCTTTTAAATAATCCGACGACGGAGCCTCTGTAAGTGAAACAGTAGTTTTTCTTGCATACTCCTGAGGTGAGGGAATTTTCTCAATTTTCTGCTAAAAGTATTAGAGTCAATTGAGAATAATTTCCAATAATTAATTACTTGGTAAAATTTTAAGGCTTTTGGATAATACAAATTTAAGCTGGTACCATCTTTTGATGGGCGTTGTGAGGGTGCTATAACCTTCCTCACACGTAACCGAACTCCCGAACTCTGTTCTGGTTAGCAGACCTGAACCTATTCTTTTAGGGACCCTTAAGCTTAGGTGTTCCCTGAAAGGACAGATTCCTTAGGTGGCCAATCGCACCTAGACAAAAAAGATTGGTGGCGACTCCCTAAAGTCAATGTCTAGCGATAGATCCCCGGATCTAGACGTTATGACATTATTCATAGCAAGCTTAGCTGCTAATCACTAAATTTGTAATTTTATCAATCCATCAAACTTAGGGCTTCAGTAAGCAAATGCTGTAAGCTGAAATCTATTAGAATAATTTTTTTTCCTTTTCTTTCAACATGAACAATCCTACTTGCATGAATAAGTCTTAAATATTGAATTATCCTTGATATAAGTATTTAGTCAGCATAGAAAACCATGCAAAAAAGCAATAATTTTTTTGTAAAAACCTACAGATTCTTTGGTTAATTTTCGCTTTTAAACTAGACTTATTCATGATCTAAGTCGAGTCTGACATGATACTTCAGCATTTTAAGTAAATTCAAACTTGGTTCAATTTTTTAGATCTTATTTTTTCTTTAAATCCGTTTTTATATGTAATAATAAAATTTAAACTCATCCAAAGCACTGATATTTAAAATTAAGAAAAAAGTTTTTTTTTTTTTGTAAACTATTAATTTAACTAATTTAATTAATTTTAATTAAATTTATGAGTTATTTGGGCTTGGGTCCAATTTAATTTTGTTGAATGTAATTTAAAATTGAATCATTATTTTGTATAAAGACAAAATAAATTTTATCATATTATAAGTAATAAAGCAAATGAGTTTTTTTCATTATAAAAAAATAAAGCAAATAAGTTTTATCTTATTATAATAAAAATATTTTTTATTTCGGGTCGGTTGGGCCAAGTTCGAACCTTAAATGACAAAACCCAAACTTGATCCTATTTTTTTATCGAGCCTCATTTATTTGTCTAGATTCATTTAACGTGTTTAATATTCATATTCAAACATTTTAAAATTTTGGAAGGGCTTTTAAATTTAGACAGACAACTCGGTTCATGAGCATATCTATTCTAAACCAATCAAACATCATTTTTCTTATTAGAATTCAACTTTTTACATATAAAGAATTAATCAAAGTTCACAAATTTAGCTTGCCCTAATATCTAATTAATCTGGTATGAAATTTTTAGACAATGATATTGATATTTGTTGTGTTTTACAATCTGTTAATGTGATATTATTTCAAATCTAATGAATATTTAAATTTTTATAGTCTTATATTCGAGTTGAACCCCTCCATTTACAGTCATTTCGTTTTAAGTTGGATGCTTAATATGGTATTAAAGTTAAGATTTTTTTTTGTTATTCTTTTCGAATCTGTTAGATTTTTTTTCTGTTATCATTTTTAAATCTATCACGTAATAAGCTTTTTTTATATCTGCCTACACGTGATGGGAGCCTGTTAATGTGGTGTTATCTCATATCTAATAAATATATAATATTTTATAATTTTATATTAAAGTTAGATCCTTTTATTTATTGCTAATTGATTTTATGTTAGATATTTAATACAATTATTGATACGGTATTTTTGTTGATAGGGAAATAGATGTGGTAGCTTTCTTTCCACCCTGGATCAGCTCTATTCCATCATCATATTTTAGTCAAGAAATTAGCTGCCGGCAAATTTGTTTCGAATCATAGGCCACGTTTTTTTTTTTTTTTTTTTGTCATATTGTCATCAAATATTAGCAACTTTGAGTTCCATAAGCAAGGTTTTTCTACAAAAAAGAAAAAGAAAAAGCTCATCTTTACATTAAATGCAAAATTTTACCAGTTTACGAAAAAGATGAGTTTAAAAAAGACCTTTCTAACACAATTATTTCGAACCTGAGAGTTTGAACGTATCTTAATGAAAAATTTCATTAGTGGGTTGACACCAAAAAAAAAAAAGTCTATTGAGGAGACTGGAAATAGAATCAGATTAGAACACGAAACTTTTAATGCTTATAACTTTTATTTATTTGTTTATTTTACGTAAGATAATGCATGTGATAAAAGGAGAGGGAGAAAAAGAAGAAGAAGCACATTTGTAGAATATTTTTATATTCTTTTGTTTGGATTCCTAAAACATGTTTTTCTTTTATGCTATTTATAGATTTCTTTCCTAGATTGCAATAAAAGCACTGTTTTTGCACCTAATAAAGTTACAAATGATAAATACAAGTGATACCAACTGGGGGGTGACCGAGAATCCAACATAAAACACTACTTTTATTTAGATTTTGCATTGTCTCTCTTTGCGTGTTCGTTTGGACTCGTCATTGGAAATCCGCATCAGAAAACCACAACATCAATGGTTGATTTTTTTTTTCTTCTTTATTTCTTTTAATTTTATTTTGATACAATGGATAAAAACGTCAACCCTGAATCTGATGATGAAGAGGATAACAAAGGCTAGGCCAAATAGAAGTGATTAAGCTTAATCAAAATATATATTTGTTCTTATGGTATTTGATTATGGTTCTCTTTAACAGATTCACCATCAGCAGGTTCCACCCTGCTTATATCTAAAAGAACAAAATCTTGATTGGAAGTGCCCGCTGTTTCACTTGTAGTGGCCATTTGCTCATCACTACTCGGGGCTGCCTTAATGTTGGTGTCCGAATCTGATGAGAGCTGATCCTTGCTCTTACCCCACAAAACTAGGTAGAGGCCAACAACAATGACGATTGCTCCAATAACCCTGCAATGTTTTGCAATGAGTTGGCCTAAATTAGTTAAAAGATCATGAAAGCTATTGACTTACTTGCACAATTAACTATAGCTTTCAGTGCACAGTCAATTGAGAAAAATGTCCCCTACAAGTTTAGTATTTGTGTTAAAAAAATTGAACCCCAATGACATGAATGAATACCCATTAAATGCAGCAGAAGACATGAAAGCTACTTCTTTCCAAGTGTTCCAAAACCAGAAGAAAGAGAATAAGATATGCACCTTCCTAAATACATTATCTCAGAAAAGATAAAGGAGCTCATAATCGCGACGATAACCATGGTTAGAGGATTAAAAGCAGCAAAAAATACAGGTCCCTTGGCTTGTATTACAATTGCTGCTATGTAGTAAGCAACCCCAGAACAGATAATTCCCTGAAAGTTGACAGATATGGTAATTGAATATACTAGCAATAGTATAATTAGTCATATATTTTAGCCAGAACAGACGGAAAAAAGCGCTTAATTCAAATCCAAATTGAACAATGGTTGGCTATTTTCATACACTGTAAACTGCAGCAAAGAGTTTAGAATCCCAGTGTATGGACCAAGCAGCAGCATTGCCCTTTTCCATTACCAGGGCAACAATGGCAGCTTCAATTGTGCCCATCAAGCAAATTAAAGTTGTTAAGGAGAGCTCAGCAGGGTATGATTTTAGTGTAATCGCCTATAGAAGAAAACATAGTAATTATAACTGATAAAATTCCTGACAGCTTAGCGAAACCCATATTGACTTTGATTTTGATACTAAATTGGCTCAAGCCAAAGAACAAGTTATAAAGAGTTGAGGAGAAAAATTACTTGAAGAATGACAAAACAAGCCCAGCAGACACAGCCTACAAGGATCATCGAAGCACCCTTTAGGTGATCTTCCTTGGTTGTTATTGCAATATTTTTATATTGGTGCTGATTGTTGACTTTTGTCCACGGCAAAGGCAACATTGGCCCATTTACCATAGTCATAATCATTGCTCCTCCAACAGTTCCAATAGTCCCCAAAATCTTCGCCTGACAATGCATTTTCCTCATGTTAACCTTCTCAAGCCTACAAATATTCTTCACAAAATCAAGTCTACAATCCACTATCCAAGTATCTAATTACATAAAAAAAAATTTACATTTTATTGGTAACTAGAGATGTACCTACAAACCCAAGCTAGCAAAAATACAAAGGCTGGAAGAACATTGCACAAGGCTGTTGCAACAGTTGCGGTCGTATACTTCATCCCGGTATAGTATAAGTTCTGATCAATTGCTGGCCTGCAAAGAAGAGCAAAATTTTGCTGTTAAAATTCATAAGACAGAGGAAAATATAAAATAAAATTTGAAGATTATGATAATAAAATTTTTGCTCAATGACCAACGTTCCTTACTCCAATAAGCCCAGCAACAGTATCTGAAGAAAGACAGACAAGGTCATCCTTGGCCTTACTTTCCTGTTACAAAATATTCATGATTCATCAGTGTCATTCAGGACATTTAAAAACTTGTAAAAAGAGATAAATAGGGAAACAGACCTATCGAAAACAATGGCGAAAGGAGCAAGGACAAGAGTGGCAATGGCAAACCGGTAAACTACCAAGACATGTTGGCTCATACCCTTATTAAGAGCATACTTGGCAACGATGGGCAAGCCTGCAGAGCCAAGCCTCATAAAAACCATGGCCATATATGGCATAGCTTGATTGTATATGCTAGCTGAGGCCTTCATCTTCATGGTCATGTTTTTTCCTCTCTTTATTTCTCAGTGACAAAAATAGAGATGTCTTTGCAGAATGAAGCAGATGATGCACGTACTTATATACACTTTACTTTTTATTTTTGCATGTCAAAATTACAGCTTCTGCATGTCTTCTTACAAACATTTTTTAAAGAAAATTATATACTACAAGACTAACAGAGTTTTTAAAATTTAATCGGAAAACTAAAAAATTGATATGTATCCCTTTAGGATATATATGAAAAAAATAAATTAATATAATTAAAAAAACACATGTCAATCTTTTAATTTTACTTATAAAATTAAAAAATTATAAGATAAATGAAATAATAATGTTTTTTATATGAATCCAAAATTATCAATTTAATGATTGATGTATTTATTTTGTAGCCAAATTATTAGGTATTTAGGTTCAATTTTCGATCACTTCTCCCTGTAAAAAAAAAAAAAAAAGTCAATTCCATTAAAAGTGAACAATTTAAATATTCCTGTCGATTTCAGCATAAAATCAATGCAATATCTTAATAGATACAAGAATATCTTAATTGGTACTGTGAAAGGACAATTCGTGGATGCCATTTTTTTCTTTTTGGCCGTTGGATGAGATTATTCAACGAAGGTTGGAAATTGGATAAGGGCTAATAATTTATGTTGCTTGCTTGGAAATTTTAATTCCCATTGCATAGTAACTCTAAACATATATGGTTCTAGTTTGTTGTATATTTTCATATTTTATATATAAAATATTTAAAATTTTTATTAAATAATATTTTTTAAACTGAGTTAGAAAGAAATTTTAAAATCTTAAGATCATAAATTCAAGTTTTACTATATATAAGGTTGGTTCAATTTTATATTGAATTTGTCTTGTTATGTTTTGGTAATATTTGTTATAATTATAACTTGTACTAGTAATTTTATAAAAAAAATTTGAGAACAACCTTCAATTATAATGATGAATATGATGCTAATTAATAGATTTTATTATTGAAACTTTGGAAACTTACGTACTGTATAATCTCTCCATTAAAACAAAATCCTTAACTCAAACTTTATTTCTTATAAATTTGTAATTATAATTTTTGAAAGAAATACAAAACATGTGAAATTATTTTCAACAAAATATAATCTTAGATTAGATACACTTTGATTTCAAACTGGTAGGACTATTAATTATAGTAAAACTAGAATCTAATTAAAAACATAATATTCAAAAAAAAAATCTTTTTGGTGCAACAATTATGTAAAATATTAAGAGTAATAATTTAAATTATCTACATTTGGCTAAAATCACGATAAAAATGATTGTAAAGCTAAAATATTTTTTTAACTATCGTCTGTAGATGAATATAATTAGTAAATATTCATATGTTTTCTGGCAATGAACTCAATAGATTAAGGAGATTCGTTACAAGGTGGAATTAAATAGTGAAGGAAAAATTGCTTTATTACTTATAAATAAATTTTAATTTCTTGAAAATTAAATATCCTTTATAAAAAAAAAAGAAAATTAAAATATCAGACCATTAATTATAATTAATTATTGTTGTTTGTTACCGATCATCAAGAAAAGGAAGCATATCCCATACTATTATTGTAATACAATTAATCAATTAAATTTATAATTATGTGAGATATATCAAATTTTTATATGGAGTTCACATTTATTAATGATAAATCCTTACATATTTTTTATTGTGAATGGATGATTGTAAGATTATAGTAAAAAAATTGTAGATAAAATGGTTGAAAAATGCTCTAGTGATATAATTAATTATTTTTGAGTATTTAATTCTTTAAAAAGATTTTTAATGTTTATTTTAATTGAGTATTTAATACTATTGAAAAATTAACTAAAATTTTAAATGATTTAAGATTTTATTTGAAGATGTAAAAGCACTAATTATTTTTTTAATTACAATTTTGAGATAATGAAAATTGGAATCAGGAATATATGAACTCTTCACTTAATTAAATCCGCTACAAAAACTAATATTAATAGCATCAGATTCTTATTCTTAAGAATATTCACATGCAAAGCTGGTGATTAAAAAAAAAAAAAAGGGAAAAAGAAAAAGAGCTCCCACTAAAATTACCAACTCTTGGAAAAGAAAAGCCAGGGCTTCACCAAACATCAAAACCAGCAGTCCTTTTCCACTTTTAATATATCAAGCACCAATAAACGTCGTCTTTGCTGACAAACAAAAGTGGAGGAAAATAAGAGAGAAAAGTGCCATGGCACCAAGTGCATTATATATATATATATATATACACGAATTATATTACTATATTATTCTTGATCACACATTTCCAATTCATTACCAATTTGTCATCCAATTCAAAATAATTGGAATCAGATAAAATTTTTGTCGTTACTATATAATCACGAGTTTTTATTTTTTTTAAATTTTATTATCATGTTTTTAATTTTGTTGATTTTTTAATAAAAAGTATAAGAATTGTCAGAAATATTTACCACATACTCCGTAAAATATTTTAATTTTATTATTTTTAATCTAAAAATCAATCAAATTAAATACATAATAACAAAAATAAAATTCAACAACAAAATTGGATGATAAATCATAGTATGGTAACAAATTTGAAATTAATCTCAAAATAATTTAATTTTTTTTCTACAATCATATGCTAAAATTCATTGATGAATTTCGTTCTTTGATACATATAAAAATCTTCAAGAAACACAATAGGTAGATAACATCTTTTATTTTATATATCTCACGTCACTGAATTCAAGGTTAAATAAAAAAAAAAAAAAAGAGAATTTGTACGGTTTGGGAACCAGTAATCTGACTTTTTTTTTTCTTTTTTTGTCATGTAAAGTTCAGAGCAGTAATTGCTGATGATTAAAACCTTTTGGTAAAATTATTATCAGTGAATGGTAATCTTTCATCCAAATTTAAAGTGCTGAAGGGTGAAAAAAAATTAAAATCATGTGCATGTTTGCTGACAAAGTGTCGTGTCTCATCAAAACTTAGGTATAATAAACATCTTATCAATCAATTTATGCTACTATTAATACTCAGGAGGTCTCCCACAAGTCTTGCTATCTGAGTCATCTCACATTTGTAACCTTTTTTCTTGCGGTAATGACAAGGTTCTTAGTATTGTTTTGGCTTAGGTATTGGATTGAGAAAGTCAAAGACCACCAACAATATCTTATGATTAACGTTTTGTGCAATAATTTTGGGTTAGTTTTTGACTACTAGTCCTGATTTAAAGTAAAAAAACATTCAACACAAGCATCAATCCTGGCCTCAAATATAGATCCCAGGACTGATGTTTCTTTTCTATAGGCATTCATTAGCTGAATTGAAAAGGAGACAAGGAACACATTCTTGAATTGTTGTGATTTTCGTATTTGGTTCTTTCGTACAGATTCATCAGTAGGAGTCACTTTGCTACAGGTTACATCCAGGACAACAAAGTTTTGATTAGAAACCATTGTTGTCTCGTCCTTGGCAGTCATTTTATGATCAATTGATATATACTTCCATTTTGATGTTCTGATTTGATGAAGGTTGATCCTTGCTCTTACCCCACAAAACCAGATAGAGGCCAATGTCAATTACAATTGCTCCAACGACTCGCAAAAAGATGGTGTAGATTAGCACATAATTGCAAAAATATGAAGATTTTCAACATTTTCTATATCAGTATTTAAAGGAGTAAAGTGGAGGAGGACCGATATGAACATTCCCAACGACAATAATCTTATTTTAAGAGTATTTTGAATTTTCCGCAAATATAATTTGATTTCGTTAGTTATGCTTTTATTTAAAGGGCAAGCAGTTTAAGGGTTTATTATCATGTTTGTAATCTCTTTTTTTCATGGTGAAATTCTGCAACAGCTGCGAAGTTCACGTCGCTCTCAAATTAAGAGTAAACGAATGCTTAATAATTTTTTTTTTTTTTTGCGCTTCTTATCGGTTTATGAAAATAGGGCTTTAATCCTAACAGCTTAGAGAATTAAAAGCAGTCACAAAAACAGGTCCTGTAGTTTTCATTATCGCTCCTCGAACATAATAAGCAATTCCAGAACAGATTACTCCCTGCCAGCAGACAGAAGAGTTGTGAATAATCACAACCTGGAGTGAATTTTATTCGGCCGAATGGAGAATTTCTTACACTGTAAGCTGCAGCTAAGAATTTAACATCCAAATATATGGACCAGACAGCAGCATTGCCAGCTTCCATAGCCAGGGCTACTATGCTTCCTTCAATGGTGCCCATCAAGCAAATTAAAGCAGTTAGGGAGAGCTCAGGATCGCGTATAACAGAAAAGATTACAACTTTGTCAATTGAAATGGAAACTTTAAATGGAAGTAATAGAGACAATGACGGTAAATGTACATGACCAAAATGTCTGCAATTAATGACAAAAGTTACTTATAGAATGATGAAACCCGCCCAGCAGAATCATGATAGCACTCTTTAACCAGATCTTGCTTAGCTGCAGCACTTGAAAATACATTGGTTATTTGATTTTATCCATGGCAACTGTAATATCGGTCCATTAATCAGAGTCATTAGCATTGCTCCCCCAACAATCACAAACTCACAATTGTTCCTAACACCTTTGCCTGGCTATGTAGTTTTCTGATATTAACCTTCTCAAGTCTGCAAAAGAGTTCTCCAGAGCAATCGACAGCCTAACTCATCCTTGAAATACCCAAATTGTAAATATGACGGTGGCTAGAAATTAATTACTTGAAAATCCAGGCCAGCATAAATGCAAATGCAGGAAGAACATTGCACGTGGCAGATGTGAAGGTTGCTATAGTATACTTCATTCGTGTAGTAAAAGTTTTGGTCGATCGTTGGCGTGAAGAAGAAAATTAATAGATCGTTGGCAAAAGGAAAAATGAAAAAAGTAGCAATGGGGTGCCCGTAGGCTACCAGAAGATGTTGGCTTATGCCTTGGTTTAAAACAAACTTAGTAATTATGGACATGCCTGCAAACCCAAACTGCAAAAAGATTAGAGCACAAAATGGCTTAACTTGATTGAAAATGGCAACCAAAGAATCCATCGACAATGTTTGTTTCTTTAAGATTCTCTTTTTTCTTCAAAAGAATCTTTTATGGTGTAGAATGAAGAACAATGTGGACTTTTGCTTATACACACAGTATTTTTCATGTAAAAAGAATTGCAAACCTCA